TGAGGTTGCTGTGAGCTAGGCTGACGCCACGGCACTTGCCCAGGCAACAGAGTGAGACTTTGTCTCAAAAAAAAAAAAAAGATGTAGTGGGAAGAGACAGACAGTAAACCAAGTAAAGTATAGTGTTTCAGCTTTGTTTAAAATGAAATAAAAATTAGCTGGGCATGGTGACGGACACCTGCAATCCCAGCTACTCTGGAGGCTGAGGTGGGAGGATCCCTTGAGTCCAGGAGTTGAGGCTACAGTGAGCTAAAATCATGCCACTGCACTCCAGCCTGGGCAACAGAGCGAGACTCTGTCTCTAAAAATAATAATAAATTTTTTTAAAAATAGGGTAACATGAAGAGTCTGAAGGAGATGAAGGTGTGAGACAGGTTGCTATATAGGGGAAGAGAACGTCAGACAGAGAAAACAAGTGCCAAGACAGAGTCTTGAGCGTGCCTGGTGTGTCTGGGATGCTGGTTTGGGCCTGTGTGGCTGTGAGAGTAGAGTGGGGAGAGAAGTAGGATGTGCAGGGCTGCAAGGACATCAGGGCGCTGGATGGAGAGCCACTGCAGAGTGTGAGCAAAGGGATGCCTTGATCTCATTTAAAGGGATCACTCTGGCTGCCGTGTAGAAAATAGACTGGAGAGGTGCAAGGGTGGAACGGGGACCAGGTAGGGGGCTGCTGCAGTAATACAGGAGGGAGATCACGGTGACTCAGATCAGGGTAGCAGTGAAGGTGGCCGGGCTCTGGATGTATTTGGAAGTAAGAGCCCACACACCTTCCTGATAGATTGAAAGTGGGTGTGAGAGAAAGAGGGTCGGGGAAGACTCTAGGGTTTATGGCCATAGCAAATGGAAGGATAATGTTGGCATCCACTGAGGTGGATAAGACTGCGAGTAGAGTAGGTCGGGGGACATCACAGGTTCAATTTAGGACATGCTAAGCTTGAGATATCAGACATTTGAAAAGAGATGTAGAGAAAGCAGTTGAATAGACAAGCCTCCAACTCAGGAGAGATGTCTAAGCTTGAGATGTGAACTTCAGAGTCACTGGCATATAGATGACATAAAAGCCGCTGAGCATGGCAGAGAAGTGGTCGGAGGACCGGGCTCTGGGGCGTGCCTACTTTGAGGTAGGAGACAGCCAGGAGGTGGGTCCTTACGGGCAGTGAAGTGTCAGTATTTGGGGAAGGAGGGCAGACGGTGAGGATAGTCTAGGGTAGTCTGAGGTGAGGAATGAGAATTGACCACAGGGCTTGGCAACATGAGGTAACTGGGACATCGGAGCAATCTCAGGAGAGTGGTGGCCCCGAAAGTCTCACCGGAGCAGGTTCATGAGAGAGTGGGAAGAGCAGAAGCGGCACCAATGACAGTGAGCACAGACAACTCTTTAGAAGAACTTTACTATAAACAGTAACAGAAAAATAGGGCAAGAGCTGGAAAGAAAAATGGCACCAAAAGACCTCTTTAAAAACAAAAAACAGCTGGGGGAAGAGTCACAGCAGGTTTCTATGCCGATAAGAGGTAGCAGTAAAACTATGGATGATGCAGGGCTGAGCAGGGAGAGCTGTTGGAGAAGGTGCTGGAGCCGGGAGCGAGGAGGGAGGGCGGGGAGGGGTTGGCCTCGCACAGGAATGGCGGAGTTCATGCCTGGTCCCGGAGGGAGGTGGTGTATTTGGATGCAATTACGATGTGCATGCTGATGTGGAAGGTGGTGAAAGTTCCCTCGTGATTGTGTCCATTTTTTCTGAAGTCAGAAGCAAGGCCAGTGGTGGGGAGTGAGGAGGTGCAGAGGTTTCCAGAGAAAGAAGGTGCTATTGACCAGTTGTCCAGGAGAGAGGTAATGGGCTAGGACATGTGTGACTGCCAGGCAGCATCGAGGGCCACTTGATGACAAAACGAGACGTAGCTCTATGCTCACATGCTTTCTCAGCCTCCTGCAGCTGAGTGACTGCAGATGCTCACTCGGGCATGCCTTGAAGTGTCCATCAGATCAT